CCTCATTGTGCCTGGTTGGAGACACTACAAGATATGGCTGCCAACCGTTGTCAGTGGCGTTCTTGTTGTCAGTTTCTGTCCAGATTGCCTGAATGAATGTCTGGAGGTGTAGGCACCTCGGAATGATTGTGTTAAGCTAGCACTAAGTCCCTCCCCCATCCACCTTTATTCTTTTCTTTACAATAAGGCTTTCAAATAAGTCATGGCTGTACGGCAGTGAAGCATTGGTGTTGAGCACTGATGTCATGCTGTCGTTGATGATGATGATGATGATGATGAAGGGGCTAAGTTTCGAAGGCGCACAGTAGAACAGCGCAACAGCAGCCTTCAACCAGCAAAGAATTTTACGTCCGCACTACCAACTTCTAGGTACTCCGGTTGTCACAGGTCGTAATGCTCGCCAACTTTACGAGTTGTTCAGCTTCCCACATAAGCGAAGCTGTTGGCTAGCTTCAGGTAGTCTCCACCTACGGTAAACCTAGCCAGAGGTTCTTATTAAACATTGCGCAGGATCTTGCACAGCCTACTAGTTGCGATCTGTCAAGGTATTCACCAACCTTATGACTAGTGTGTTACGTTCAGACAGCGTATCGCGGTATCTCGAATATCGTGCCAACTAAAACATGAGGTGGTCTGGTGCAGCGCATTCAGCTGAAGCGGTCCAGTGTAGACGAGAAAACGAGGCGGAATCAGTGGAGTTTCCTGTTAAAGCTAAAGTCGTGTGTATATGAAAGTATTCCTCAAAGCCCTGGTATTAATACTTGTCATTTTATGGGGAATAAATAAGCATGGACCACGAATTCAGGTGCCTCTGATCACGATGAAACCAGTCGATAAAAAATCTGTACATAAGTGGTGACTCTGTTCCATAGGTACCCAAAAAGCCACAAGAAATGGGACAGCTAGTATAAGCGAGCTAGAGCACAACACACGAAGCCGACACCGGTTGCTGCGTTAACTCCGGGACTTCTACAACTCGTTAAATATTCAAACTTCCCAAACATCGGTGCAGATAACCGATAGAACATTCCAGCAATCTAGAAATATTTCAAGACATGCGAGGGAGTAGTCTGTCAGATTAATGCAACTACTGCCGCGGACGTAATATCGGGGGTGCACCCGATTCTGAAGCGCTAGACATTTATTGCAATTCAGATAGACAAAACCGGCACTGTACTGTCACCCCACAAGGAAACGGGTCGGCCAAACCAGAAAAACAATCCCCGAAGAAACTTTCAGTACACTTGCATGGGATACCGACCAGGGCCATGGACTACCTGAATGTCCACTACACATGAGTGTTCGTTACACAAATCCACCGTAAAACACTATTTTTCTCGTCGACTAGACCAGACCACTCAACGGTAGAGCTCTCATGTCGCCATATAAAAACTGCCACATAAGTTCACCAAAATGGAGCCTTCTGTAAACACGAGGTGGTGCGAAGAGTTCTTGAAACCATGTAACGACACAACGTGGATAGCAGAAGTAGTGTTGCACTGGACACGAAACGGCCGTCAACCTGAAAGTGGCCGCCACACCCCAATCGAAGTTGAGGATATCAAACACCGTAGTAATGTCGGAGGTAAATCACCATTGCTGCATTGAAAGGCAGCTGGAGAAAAGCTACGGCTTCACATTTTGACCGGTCAAAACCTTACACGCTGATGCTGATATGGAACTAGAGACAGCACAAACCAGCTGCCATACAGAGGTTCGCGTCGGAAATCACTGCCAAGTTTGGAGCGGACGAGGTTGCCTATCGAACACAACCGCAGCAGAGGCCCGTTAAAGCGACTTTAAAAAGCAACGCAACGTAACGGTGTGCGAAGACGTGTACAGCAAGTTGATGAACGTGCAAAAAGTATTAATCTTAACGACCTCTGACGAACGGATCACCATGCAGGATTACATTTTATCCAAGGGCGCTAGTTTGCTGGTTAGCTCTCCTGGGAAGCAGCGTAAAGCTGAGTGCGGGTCAT